GAATTCCCTAGCCAGCCAAGCATTGCTGGCTGGGGGATTCTGGGAGTTGAAGTCCACTCATCTTAAAGTGGCCAAGTTTGGACAACACTGCTCTAGGACATATCTTTAACTAGTATATTTCTGAAGTAGCGAAATCACTCAATGTAATGGCTCCTAGGCCACGTTCCTATGAATATTTGAAACTAAATTCCATAAAGTAGGTGCAGTGGCTACCCTTTGCAAGTCAGTTGTATCTACAAATTAGCTGTGCCAATATTTGCTAGTGCTTTCAGTTGGACTTTGTCACCCATGGTTAAATTTATGTAGATTTGGACCACAGCATTCAGTAGTGGCTATTAGTGTTCTAAACTCCCTGAAATATTTTATCAATTTCAGGGTATTTTATCTATATACTGTACTGAGTACAGTACATATTAGTATTTGAGACATTAAATGTAGCCACTTAAGTAATTCCTCAATTCGTAAGTAGCAAATTAAAGTCCATTTCATAGTTTATAGATTCTGTCTGTTCTAAAGGATACCTTGTTTTATTGCAATCCTGATCTGCTTCTTGTTGCATGTTATGCATTTATAATTGCGATTTTGTGGCATGCATGATCCCAAACCTCATTACTGTTTTTTTATACATATTCAGACACTTTTATTCATGCTTGGGAAACATGTAAAAATAGAATTTGAAATACCTGAAATGAAAACTGCAGGAGCTCCAATGGGCAATATATATGTACCCAAACGAAACTGTGTACTTGTGAAGAAATCTTGTTCTATCAATTTCATGATTTGCATCATTTCCAGTATGGGCCATTTTTTTATAGCCATTGCTGTGTAATCCTCCAGCAATAGGTCTTCAGATATATTTTGGATTTGGATTTTTTTTTTAAATCATAATGGTCTTTTAATGTACAAGAATTGTTCAGCACAAAATTTCCAACATTTCAGTGGATTAATGAAATGTTAATATTTAACATGAATAACTGGAGCTATTTTAAAAAGCTATTTGAACAAATATTTAAATTACATTTACTGGCTGATTGATATGGGAAGATTGCATAACAGAACCACAGAATTTAAGAGCACCAGTATATAGTTCCAACTTCCCTGTAATGTTTGAAAAGGGGAATACAAAACTGATCATCTTTTCAGTGGGGAAAAAACACTTTGTGCAAACACCATGTAAATAAAACAACATCAACAAGTATCTGAGGAAAATAAGGGAACACCATGAATGCACACCTAACATCTGTGGTGGTCAGGCAGTGTTGGATTTTTGACATATTTGTTACACTGCCTTATTACACTGAGTCATATTACAGTGGTCTGGTGGTTAAGAAGATGGAACAGGGAAGCCTTGAGTTCTGGTCCTGCCTTGGACACAGAAACCAGCTGGGCTAGTTACTCCCTCTCAGCCCTGGGAAGAAGGCCAGGGAACCACTGCCTAGAAAACTGCATGGACTTGTCCATGTAGTCCCTGACTTGAAGGCAAAAAAAGAGAGAGAGAAAGAAAGAAAGAAAGAAAGAAAGAAAGAAAGAAAGAAAGAAAGAAAGAAAGAAAGAAAGAAAGAAA